GGAGAAAGTTTGTGTTACTCTAAGTATTTATACGTATCAAATATTTACAAGTATCTCATCGAAGAGCTACTATGTATGTTTTTTTATAGTGAATGCGTGATATTGTTTCATCACTTTTTATGTTGAGATTACATCGAAAAAGAAACGCGGCCTTAACAAAGTAGAGAAATGAATAAACAAATGAGTGGAAAAGACGACGATTAAACAATTTGACCGCTCCTTCACAGAAAAAACAGTATCCTTGAAAGAATGCAAATATTCCTTGATTCAAGTATATTTTAGCCTTATAATAGCGTCAAACATAAATAATTTTGGATAAAGGATAATTTATCCTTAAAACAAAGTGCAAAATATTCTTAGTTGAAACTGAAATTTATTTATAAATATTGCAAGGTAAGCATCGAATATAAGTGATACTTTCAAATATATAATTCTTAATTCAAATGTAACTAAGTTTGTTTTTACCATATGCGAGTTTTAAAACAAGAATATATCTTAAGGATAAAATATACTTCACAAAAACTTATTTATTATTAAGGCAAATGAAAATTGTGATTATAAAGAGCATTCTATGCTTAAATCAATCAAATAGCGTTCGAGAATAAAAATATACTTGAATCAAGGATTCCTTTTTTTCTGTGCGCTATGTCGAAAAAATTCGAAGCCATCATGACACTCCCTAATTTTAGATTCTTATTCCTAATTTGAAAAAATCTTCAAATTACGATTATCACTTACCTGTACGATATACAGAGTATATCCCAGAGTTAGAGGTTCATGACAGATTCTTGGGGTTAGTCGATACGATTTTTCCTCGCTGAAAATGTCGTGGCAATAATTTTTGAGTTACGAGCGATTGAAAATAAAAGGTTTCTCACAAACTAAGTCTTGTGGAAATAAAATATGAACAAATTTAATTTAATAGAATTTTAATTTAGGGCTTACAATTAGTTACAAAGATATATGATAGTAAAAACTGAGAGTTTGCAAAAAATGATGACCTCTTTCTCTCATTGAGGAAAACTCGTCTTCGAATAATTTTAGGATTCTCCCGTTAACGGGTGATTCGATAAGTCTGGGACATCCTGTATTTAATCGTATTTCCTTTTTTTCTCCCTCAATAAAAAGAATGCATCAAAATCTATTCGGATAAAAATTATTTATTCATTGGCTAATAATCAATATATATATATCGCGGCATACGTGGAAAGAAATGATATTTATTGCTGGAATCATTTTCGATCGGATTTATAACAAACCCGCTGCACGCAGACTTATTTATTATTAAGGCAAATGAAAATTTGTGATTACAAAGAGCATTCTATGCTTAAATCAATCAAATAGTGTTCAAGAATAAAAATATATTTGAATCAAGGATTCCTTTTTTCTATGTTCGATTGTTATAACTCGATAATGCAAAATATTGTTCTTCCGGACATATGCTAATTCGTTAATTGGCGTCCGAAACGCTGGGCAATCGGTCTCATTTTGATGTACGAGCGAGATATTATAATCACATTGTACTATCGATTGACGTGTGTCGGAGGGGCTGCTCGGAGGGGCGGCCTGGTATGGCGGAGGGTGAGTGTTAGATGGCAGGGTGGAAGTAGGAAGCCGGCAGGGAGAAGACGCCCCCTAATAGAATGCCAATATGATTATGTGTGCCACGCTGCATCCAAACCACGAGATCCATGATGCATTTAGTTGTACTCTTCAACGCTCGACGCAATCGACTGTCTCGACTCGCTCGTCGCCGTCGCCGACGGCGGAAAGGTATGCGGGATACTCGTTCGCTTCGTTAATCGAGAGCGACTCTACAACTTTACCATCATACGTATACATATATGTGAGTATATCGACGCGTTTTGCGCCTAATATACTCACTATTCCAATATATACGAGTAATGCGAAAAAAATTCCGCGAAGCTAGCCTCGTATTTAGGGGATCCTAAATGACCTTGAGAAATCTGTTGTTTTTTCCTGTTTTATCGACAAAATGTGAGGTTAGATAAACTAGAAATCTATTTATTGGCTATACGGATCGTTTTCCACCAGAAATTGGACCAGGCCGGATTTGGCATTGAGGAAAGGAATATAAGTGAATGTTTAGATATCAATTTGGAAGCCTAGTAAACCAGAATAATTTATCCTACATTTTTATGCACACACGAAAATGTAGGATGAGTTATTCTCGTTTACTAGGCTTTCAAATTGAGATCTAAACATTTACTTATATTTCTTTATCAGGAAAAAGTAACAGACTTCTCAAGATCATTTAGGATCCCCTTAAGGTGACCATGTCTGTTTTACTGATGTTGAGTTCAAGGGTTTTTCTTTTTATTGACTATACAGATTGAAAAATCCTTTTCCACAATTAAAGTACTGATAATAATGAACGGTAATTTCGTATAAAAGAACAATAAAAGTTTAAAAAATCACAGTTTTTATCGGCCTCTTGCATCAGTTCATAACAATACTTATTTAATACAAAAGTTCTGCAGTTTGTTCGTGCACAAAATATGGCGCTCTCAATAGAGATGACATGAACGAATAATACAGAAGTAATAAAAACGAGATTAGAAGGCTGTATGAAAAGATTCGTACTTGAATTACTTATGTATACATTTGGGCGGAGGCCCAAATTTTAATAGAAGCTGTTGTCACTTAAAAACTTCCATATGCTGCAAATCAGAGCTAGGGTCCTCCTGAGCGAAGAACGAATAGTTTTAAAACTACGGAGAAGAAATGATGAAAATCATAAGAGGGGATTAAAAATAGTATATATTGTTGAATTAAAGATGTTGAAAGAGAACTATTGAAAGAGATTCCCTTTTGATAGATGATCAAAAGAATCCACCGAGAAAAAAAATAAGAGAAGATCCGCTGGAAGCTCGAATTTATCATGAAATTTTCATTTTTAGTACGGCTTTTCGATTTTGTAAATGCTTGCAGGGAGTCTGCGTGGATGTTTTCTCTCTCGTCGTGTCCATCGATTCCCCGCAAATTTATTCTATTTACGCATAAATGTCGAGCGGCACGTTACATTAAATTCCCGATTTATAATGTTTTCCACGCGTAGACGCGCTAAATCAAGCAGTCACCTGTGGTGGACGCGCATCATCGAAAGGGGCGAAAAATATCCATGTGACGTTCAAGTTTTATTTCCTACCCCTAAACGCGTCTTTCTTCATCCCTTAAAGCCCTCGTACTGTTTCCTTCGATTCGCGACAAACCGAAGTATTCACCCTCTCGTTAATCGATCGCCAGCTCCATCGTAATCGTCTCGTTTCGTTCTCTCGCATTCTTTTTGCGTAAAAAAAAAAAAAAAAAAAAAAAAAAAAAAAATGACGTCACGCGTGCGCACGCGGATAGACTCACCACGATAGAGTGGGCACGATGGGCGCGATGGGCACTTCGGAAAATGCTTTAACCCGTGAGTGGTCGCGTCACGAAAAATCACGCCGCGCCAGCCTGTAATGCATTGTCGAGTTTTATGCAAACGGAAGATACAAGCGGAAGGGAGGAGAGAAAGTTGGACACGATCAAATAGAAGAAGGACGATCCACGGCTTACGTATAAGAATAATTGTTAATGCCTGTTCTAGAGATGTAATCGTATCGAAATAATCGATTAGAAGCCAGGTGTGTTACTGGGGAATAAGATGGAGAAGCGCGAGGAATGGGATTCAATTTTGCAATTGATTGGAAATATATGCAGGTAATAGTAATGCGTTGCAACAGAGAAGGAAATTGTACTAAAAATAGACGCGAGTCTTTCTTAAAAATCGACATACCGCTCAGCGAAATATATATATATATATATATATATATATATATGACAAAAAATAAAAAAAATATATATATATATATATATATATATATATATATATATTAATTTTTTATTCAGATTATTATTCAGATTTCTAAACAAAACTAATACGATCAAACCAATTAATATCAGCGATAATATATGACGCAACATTAGTGATCGCTTGGCTATTAGCTATTATATATTATATATTAGAATATTAGATATATATATTTTATATTAGAAAATATATATTATATATTAGAAATAAAAAAAAAAAATATATATATATATATATATATATCTAATTGTTTTTTATTTCTTTGTCATTTTTTGATCGACGGAAACATCTTTTTCAGGGATGAAAACTTATATGGAGTCAGCCAAGCGATCACTGATGTTGCGTCATATATTATCGCTGATATTAATTGGTATTAGTTTTGTTTAGAAATCTGAATAATGTACACTATAGGGGCAATAAATAATGTATCTTTAATTTCGTTGAAATTACAATTATATATATATATATATATATATATATATATATATATATATATATATATGCAATATTTCATCAGGCCGATTATAAGAGAGTCAATTAATTGATTTGTTCATCGCAAGTCTATAATTTGCATTATATAATTTTCTTTAGCGAATTACACTGTCCTAAATCTGTTTACTTTTATATCATGTTTACTATATTTCTGGTAATTTTCAGCGCGGGCATGTATTTACACAAGAAATGAACAATCTGTACAACAAATATATCTACGGACATAAATTTTGATTTTCGAGGTAGACCTTCGAGAAGCCAAACAATGTGTCATCTCTTTCGGCAGCCTTATTTTTCCGAATAATCTAAGCATATTCCAACACGTACGAATCATTACGTAACACACAAGTGATCGATGTACAAGGTATAAGTAAATCGGAACGCATCGGGGCGATTGCACCCGGATTAATGGCGCCGGACGGAAGCGTCTATAATACTTATCGAAAGATACATCCGGTGTAACCGTACTCTTTCTCTCGTAGCGTGTGTCTCTCGCATAGGGGTAGTGCCCGTCGAAGTTAACCTTTGTTTCGCGCATGACTGGCCTTTCGGGTTTATCAGTGTGTAGCAGGTGGTGTACGGCGCTTTATTTATAACACAGCGACCGTCCCTTCTCTTCCTTTCGCGAAACTGCCGTGACGTGCCGATCGCGTTAAGCCGCGCGAACAGTTCGTATATTGCGCGTACGGCCTGTGTATTCACGCGTGCCCGTGTATTACATACATATACAATATACGTACAGGTATACGCGCGCGATATCGCGACAACGACAACGACCACGACGATGTGTGTAGTAAAGGTGCCTCCGCGTAAGTAGACCGTGCGTATACGCGTGCATTTTCTCTCCATGCACACAGATGCACTCCCGCGTAGCACTACGTAAGTGCGTGCATGCATGCGTGCGTACGTGACGTGTTTACGCGTACGTAAGTACGTCTTTCAGACGAGAATTATCGATATGTGCCGCTCCACAAGCTGTGTATTTTCCGTAAAAAAACTGGATTTTTTCTCCTTTTTTTTTCATTATTAGAGTTGTACAGACGTATTCAGATTATTACACAGAAAAAAAGGAATCCTTGATTCAAGTATATTTTTATTCTCGAACGCTATTTGATTGATTTAAGTATAGAATGCTCTTTGTAATCACAAATTTTCATTTGCCTTAATAATAAATGAGTTTGTGTAAAGTATATTTTATCCTTAAGATATATTCTTGTTTTAAAAATCGCATATGGTAAAAACAAACTTAGTCACATTTGAATTAAGAATTATATATTTGAAAGTATCATTTACATCCGATGCTCACTTGTCCTTGCAATATTTATAAGTAAATTTCAGTTTCAACCAAGAATATTTTGCACTTTGTTTTAAGGATAAATTATCCTTTATCCAAAATTATTTATATTTGGCGCTATTATAAGGATAAAATATACTTGAATCAAAGCATACATATTTGCATTCTTTTAAAGATACTGTTTTTTCTGTGTAGTATTAAACATATTTTTATGTGGAGATTACAGTTTGATTTTTCGCCTTTTTTAATAGTCGCATTTATTACAAGTTTTTTTTTTAAATGTTTCCGTCGATCAAAAAATGACTAAGAAATAAAAAAAATTAGATATATATATATATCTAATTGTTTTTTTTTATTCAGATTTCTAAACATAATTAATACGATCAAACCAATTAATATCAGCGATAATATATGACGCAACATTAGTGATCGCTTGGCTGACTCCATATAGTTTTCATCCCTGAAAAAGATGTTTCCGTCGATCAAAAAATGACAAAGAAATAAAAACAATTAGATATATATATATATATATATATATATTTTTTTTTTTCTTTGTTATTTTTGATCGACGGAAACATCTTTTTCAGGGATGCAAACTTATATGGAGTCAGCCAAGCGATCACTGATGTTGCGTCATATATTATCGCTGATATTAATTGGTATTAATTTTGTTTAGAAATCTGAATAATGTACACTATAGGGACAATAAATAATGTATCTTTAATTTTCGTTGAAATTACAATTGTTGTTGTTTTTATTAATTACAGATGCAGAAGAAGCGGCCTGATCAGATATCGAGGGTAATATTCGTCGAGGATTGTTGATTAAAAATATATCTTGATTAGGAATACATGTATATATATTGTAATACATGGAAATATGTACTCGTGTAATGATATATGAGAGCGCGAGAGCGAATTTTATTGATGGATTCATCGGAAGATACATAGACAGAAACGAACGCGCGCTTGTCGAGTCTAATAAATATGGAATCTCTATGAAATGTTAATACAAGGCGTACAAGGACGCTGTCTCGCGTGCTTCTTACGGATGATTGAACGCGAATACAACAGATTTCTGCGATATCTCGCATCGAATAAAATGCCATTTTTTATCGAATCTTCGTATTATTATCTTTCCTTTCATAGTGAATAGTGAATAGAACATATCGAATGCTATTTCCTATTCACTATTCGCATACACATACACACACATTTCGCGCCATCATTTCCAATTAAATATATTATATAACGAGAGAGAAGAGAGAGAGAGAGAGAGAATGCAGAGGTATTGAAAGTAAATTCTGATCATTCGATTATAAACTGAAACCTGCAAAGAGAGAAGGAAAATTTTAATCTCCTGTAATTCTTCCATCGGTATATTCCAAAAAAGTATGACTTTTAAAAATATTATATACCTATTACAATTGAACAACGGATTTGGGATAAAAGTTAATTAATCGCGCGTTTAAATTAATTTTAAGAAAAATAGAAAACTCTTGACAGAGTGTAACTTTTTCATGATTTTTTCCAAGTCTTGACTTTCGTATTCGTTAAAACGACAAACGTCCGAAAATCAACCCTTGTATCAATCTCTACAGCTTTGCACATGGCGGGGCACATGATTGATTAATTTTCATCAACTCTGCGCGTCTATCGCGCGGTCTATTTTCGAGGGACATTGTCTTTCTCGGAAAGGGGTAGCGACGTCAAAGGGGCACGAGGCAAGGACACGAGGATGAAATTCTTAGAGCGGGAACCGTTGAGAATAGGAAAGCGCCGCCCGTCGAGAATGGCGGAATTAAATTTATTCAGGCAGTGCCAATAAGTCGGAAAAGTTGCGCCCTAAAAGCCGGAATCCGCGCGCTCGGCGTCGCCCAACCCTCCAATTCTCACCACCGTTGTCTCGTGCTCTCTTTTCCCGCCCTTCCGCCTCTGTTTTATTGTGAACCGAAGGAGGCAGTCGGAGCGATACCAACGCTCACTCGGAATACCGCGCGATCGATTCTGCGTGTCGAGAGAGAGAGAGAGAGAGAAAAAGTGTCCTCCGACACTTTGCGAACCTATAGTGGAAGCTCGAACGCCGGATGTACTATTTTAATAAGTCCCATCCCGAATCGAGAGAAGGGATTTCCTTTGCGCTTTTTTTTTTTTTCTACGCGCTAATTTCATCCGGCATTCACTTTGCGGGCGTAATGAATCGGCTCTATTAATTGCGAGAAAATGACCGAGCGAGAGTGTCTTGGTCGCTCTCGCTAACGCTTTGCGTCAATGACTTACAATTAGTGCGAAGGACGCCTTTGGTGGACGCAGGGACAAGGATTGGACCTCGGTGAATAGAGAAGCGCGGCTTAATGATTACGTTTCGGTATATCCGCGTTTCCCATTCAAGCGAAAATCCTGCTCTCCTCTACCCGGCTCGGAAGTCAGTGTTTCGTCGCTGCAACGGGCTCGCTGTTGTGTACTAATTATAATTATCATCATGCTCGCGTCCCACCCTAGGAAACTCGATGGCGCAACTCGACGTGGCACTGCTAATTGCGAGGACTTGGTCTCGATTGTACGTTGTCGGACACTGCTCGGCACTTAAAATAAGGGTCCTCTGTATATGCCGATGTCACGTTAATCCTATTCCTCGTTTACCGGAGCCAAGTGCGGACTTAATGATGTAACTTTCGTTATTTCGCGATCGCTAGATAGGGGGAATAGAACGGCCGCGAATATGCGTTGCATTATAGTTTCACAACACCCCTGAGATATTTCCGGATTACCTTTGCGTTGGGTCTCACATTCTTACACGCGCGATCAATCTTTACTTTCGCCATGTTTTTCAAATTGATTCATCTATCTCAAAATTGGCAAAACATTTTCCAAAATGCAAACATTAATTTATCCTAAAATAATAATAATAAGTAGAGCTTGCGATCTAGAGAGAGAAGTCGACTGGTTTAACCTGAACCTTTAGATTTTCTTATTTACGTAAAATATTGTATAGAAAAATGCCATTTTCACGATAGCGCGGCTCTATTCGCGTCGAATCAGTGCTACCTTCATTTTTATCGCGAAGACGGTAATGCGCATTCAGTCGGTCACGAAAAAGATGAAAATTCCAGTAATTGGTGTGAAACAAAGTGCTGATAAAAGTAATTTTAAGAAAGTCCATGGGCCGGCGGCGGGTAAGCTACGAGGATAAGATAATATATTGGAAGCGAATTGCAATGGACAGAATCAGCCCCTCGTAATTTGCTTCGAGGCACCTAGCCTGACCCATCCGACGACCTTCTGACAACCAATTACATCGAGGACGAGACGCAAACGACGAAAAAAAAAAAAAAGAAAAGGATGATGCAAAGATCCTTGCTTAGCGCTAGCAAAGCGCGCGGAACTTGATTAATAAAAGTAGAATACGGTGCAAGCGTGGCGTGCTACATTAATCTCTAATAGAGTATTCGCGAGAATGCTCCAATATTCAATTTGGGTTTAATCTGACGAATAATTGAACCAATTTTCGACAAACATATCGCCGATATCTAAATCCAAAACCGATCATTTCCACATAAAAATGTATTAAGTTATTTTCACGTTCAACGAAATATTAAATATAATAATATCTCTCTATTATTCGCTCCAGCTCTTTTCGATTGTACATAGCTCGAATCGATTTTGACGTATCGCGCGGTCGATTCGAATCAACGATAGTGTGGGTGTGTAGTGGGATCTCCGAAATTATATCTGACAATTCCTATGCAATTGGGGAGCGACGTCATGACTGTCTCACCGCCGCGCCGCAATCCAGTCAGCTGGGCCGACATACATATATGGGGGTTTTCATTAGGGTGGGATTTCGCATGGTCTCTATAGCCTGGTCGGTGGTCGTGGAACCCTCGAACCTGCGCGGGATGGATGCACGCTATACGCGCGCTGCCATGGGAGCCAAGATTGTCATACAGGGGGTTACTAGGAGTATCTATTGTCTTTCAGCACACAATGTGCGATATACCGGAGTAAAGATATTGCCTGCCGTCGCATTAAGTCGCGCCGACCTGGAAGGTGCCGACAAATCGATAATAAAACAGATATGGTCTCTCAATGTATATTATATATATATATATATATATATATATATATATGTATGTATATAATATACATTGAGAGACCATATCTGTTTTATTATCAATTTGTCGGCACCTTCCAGGTCGATGAAATCGAATATCGATATTTTTTTTTATTTATGATTTTCGAAAAATATATATATATATATACAGTAATATAATATATATATATATATATATATATATATATATACAGTAGCCTCCATAAGTTTGGAAACGCCTTACATTTTACAGTTGAACAATCGTATGGCAGCGATCTGTGTAGATTTTTTGTATCAATAAATTACAAAATATTTAAGTAACATTTTTATTCATGACAGATCGCTGCCATGCGATTGTTTAACTGTAAAATGTAGTGTTTCTAAATTTGTGAAGGGTGCTGTATGCAATAAATAACCAATGTCCATTTATAAGACTGTTTTTTTCTTTAGAGAATTTTTCTCTTAAATTAAGAGGGTCCTTTTGACAGATCTGTGCAGATTTTTTGTATAAATAAATCATAAAAAAAATCATAAAATATTTAAATGACATATTTATTTATAACAGATCACTGCCGTGCAATTCTTTAACTGTAAAATGTAAGGTGTTTCCAAACTTATGGAGGGTACTGTACGTATATGAAAAATATCATTTATTTTTCGAAAATCACAAATTAAAAAAAATATCGATATTCGCCTTACATTTTCCAGTTAAACAATCGTATGGCAGCGATCTGTGTAGATTTTTTGTATCAATAAATTACAAAATATTTAAGTAACATTTTTATTTATGACAGATCGCTGCCATGCGATTGTTTAACTGTAAAATGTAGTGTTTCTAAATTTGTGAAGGGTGCTGTATGCAATAGATAACCAATGTCCATTTATAAGACTGTTTTTTTCTTTAGAGAATTTTTCTCTTAAATTAAGAGGGTCCTTTTGACAGATCTGTGCAGATTTTTTGTATAAATAAATCATAAAAAAAATCATAAAATATTTAAATGACATTTTGATTTATAACAGATCACTGCTGTGCAATTCTTTAACTGTAAAATGTAAGGTGTTTCCAAACTTATGGAGAGTACTGTATGTATATGGAAAATATCATTTGTTTTTCGAAAATCATAAATTAAAAAAAAGATCGATATTCGATTTCATCGACGTGACGATAAATATAATATATAAATTGTATCGTCTTGATAAAATATAATGTAATAATATCAAATTGAAAGTTAAAAAATGAAAGGAATGAAAGAAAATGTAATATATATATATATATAAATTAAATGGGTGTCGGAGCATGATGTCGAGAAATGTTTTTTTTTTCTACAATATGCCATGTACAAATTCACGTGTAATCGAATGACGCATCCGAAGCGATGAACCTCGTTTCAGCGGACGTCGGGCGAATCGATCACGTGCCATTCGATGATCGATCGGCCGGTGGACGTCAAGCATCCGTAGTGCAATGTATTTTGTCATCCGAACAAATATCTCGCCGGTCGATCGAGTGCGAACTTTGTGATCGATCGGACAATCTATTCAGCAAGCGTAGGTGCCAATATGTTGCCACTTGGCAGGAAACCACGCAAGTAAGTGAAACGTAAAACAATCCGTTTCGCGTTCAACCGCCGAGAAGACGTATCTTTCGTACGATGATAATTACAGCGATTCCGAGTATATCGATTAATCGTAAAGCGCGATTACTCTACTTTGAGAGAACGTGTCTGTGGTTTTTTCCTTTCTTATCGACAAAATATAAAGTTAGGTTCTCTTAAGAATTCATAATTCTGTAACCAAGATATATGAGACTATACGGATTGATCAATTTTGTTCCGGTACAAATTAAATAAATTAACAAAGGAGGAAGGTTCTAACAATCCGCATAGCCAATAAATCTAGTTTGCCGATAAAAAAGAAAAACCAACAGACTTCTCGAGAACGTTTAGGATCCCCTTAAATTTGTTCGATTTGTCTGACAAGAGCCGCTGATTAAAAGATACGTCGTATTAAAATTAAATGAAAATGAT